CAAAATTAGAAGTATGAAAAAATGGCACAAAACCAGGAGTGAAAGGAGCACTCCTTTTTGATTATAGCAAAGGCTTTGTTTGTGATCATTCAGCAGAACTTTTTTTGAGTGTGTTCACTTAATTATATTCTTTAATGGAATGTGTAATATGGCAGTGACCTTGGGATAGAGATGCCAGTTTTGTTTCTATCTGACCCCAAACACTTTGTTCACTGTTGCTAAAATAAGCTGAATCAAGAAGAGACAAATTGTTCAGTTCAGGGACGGGAAATACGGAGTAGACAAAACCCGTAGAGACAAGTATTGTAACTGAGGTATCAACTAGTGCAGCATCCTTATTCGAAAGTAGTTGAAGTTGAGACCCAGAGACGAGAAGTGTTGGGCCCAAGGTCTTTCATGTAGATTCTCATTTGATGATCGTAATAACCTTAATGGATATGCCAAGCTGGTATCTTTACCCTTGATTTACCAACAAGGATTTTGAGGCTCAAAGAAAGACTACGATTTATAGAGAGAGCATCAGCTTTTAAGTAATGAACCTTGCTTTCTATTTCTCAGTCTGTCTTCTAGCCTTTCTACTTAACCTTGGCCAAGTCCCTAACCCATTGTTGGTTTCAATTTCATCATCTGTAAACTAGAAAAGTGAAAATGAATGGATTTCTAATTCTTTCATGTTATGATTCTACAGCTTTTTCACTGTAATATAGTCAGGTCTTGACTCTGTCCACCCTGCCCTTTGTTTCTTCATGCCTGGAGCATGATGATCCGTATTCTACTTGGGGAATAGGTCAAAAGGAGGTGGTGCTGATGCTTGCACACAGAGGCTCTTAAGTCAAGTTTGGCACCATATGGTTTCAGAATTAGGAACCAATAAACTGTTTTTTTTTCAATGAAATCAAACAATCATCTTCAGAGCTACTGCCCTTGACCCAGATGTGATGAGCAGATGGAACAAATCCCTCTTTGCAATGGAGTAAGGAAGGATCTGCAAAAACATTTTCACTTTCAAAGGAAGAAGTCCCATGATCTCAGCTTCGAGAAATTTCACCCAAAGCATTTTGTTTGCAGAAAGGAAAGTATGTGGCTCTACTTGGTCTTACTGGGGGGAAAAAAGCACCGAGACACAGATAGGACCATTAGTGAAGAGTAATTTTTACTACTCTGATAGCGCTGGAATTGCATTGACACCACAGGATTGAAGACAATTGGAGGAACATTATTTACTAATATGATAAGGACATTGTGCCTTTCGAGTCAGGCAGACCTGGATTCAAATTTTGACTTGATCATTTATAATTTGTGTTTCTTTGCAGTTATTTCTATTTGTGCTTCCTAATGTATAAGGAGTCTAGCACAGAATAGGCACTGCATACCTATCAGAGAAATAAAATATTACCTTTTCTTTGTGACTCATCATTTGTATCTATAAAATATATATAATGATTTCTGTCTGACAGTGCTGTTGTGAAGATTAAATAAGCGAATGTATGTTAGGATCCTGTATTAGTTTCCCAGGGCTGCTGTAATGAATTACCACAAATGTGGTAGCTTAAAATAACAGAATTTTATTTTCTCATAGTTCAAGAGGCCAAAAGTCTGAAATCACAGTGTCAGCAGGATTAGTTCCTTCTGGAGGCTCTGAGGGAGAAAACATATCATGCCTGTCTCCTAGCTACTGGTGGTTGCTGACAATCCTTAGCATTTTTTGGTTTGTGACAGTATAACTCCAATTTCTGTCTTCATGTGGCCTTCTCTGTGTCTCTTTCTCTGTTTCTGTAGGTCTTTCTGTATCCAAATCTCCTTCTTGTAAAGAAACCAGTCGTTGGACCTAAGGCTCACCCCAAAACCAGGATGATTTCATCTGGAGATCCTCAAATAGTATTATCTGCAGAGACCTTACTTCTAAATAAGGCCACATTCTGAGGTTTGGGAGAACAGGAATTTTTGAAGGACACTATTGAATCATTTACAGCTCCTAACCCATAGTAGAGGCTGTATTACATTTAGTTCCCTCTTAATGCTGGAGAGAGCATTATTTGATGATGTAGAAGTACACAATACTACTACAAATAAAAAATGGTACCATCTTTAACGTTTTGGATTACGCATATTTGTTCCAAAATTGATTGAAAGCTTCATGAACAAATATATTTTATTTGTTCTCTTTAGTCATGTAATGAGAGAAACTTGTCATTATAGGCATCTGCTAGCTCTCTGAAATAGGAGTCCTGATTATGTGTATTTTATTTGCCTCTGTGGAGGAGAATAATTTTTCCTCTACCTTTCTTGGCTGAGACCCTTTGTAATAAAAGATTAACAGAAGAGAAAGAGAAGTTTAATAACACGTATACCTCCTGTATACATGGGAGAGACCCAGGAAAACTGAGTGACTCCCTGGAATGGCCCAAGATACCACCTTAGATACCATTTCCAGCCAATGAAAAAAGAAAATGTTTGGTGGGGTAGAGCCAGGTTTTCAGGCAAAGCACAGGTAACAAGGATTAAGTTGTTATTCAGATTTAAGTCCATGCTTTCTCCATTGATAACTTTCTCCATATTTCGTCATCGTCCTCCTCCTGGTACAGAGGGAGATACCCTTACAGATGGAAATTTCCCTTGTGAGGGCCAAAGGCAGGCAGTTCCCAAATGTGATACTTCAGCATATTGGTTATTTTGAATTAAAGTTACTTAAAAGAACAGTCAGTGCAATTAGAACACTCTGAGCCTCCCCTCCATACCCTTGTTGTCTCCAGAAAGCAGGAAATTAATCTCCCATGTGAAAGATACCTTCCCTGTAACAGGAGCTAAAGAGACATCTTTCTCTCCAGAGATAGGGAATTCAGAAATGAGAAGGCTGCATAAATAAACCTTGTTACTTTTGCTCATTTACTACCCTAATCAAAATTCTGTTTAGAATTCCTTACTGATTAAAGTTCCTCTAAACATAGATTTTCTTTGTCCTGCCAATTCCTCACATATTTATGCCTCTTTGCCTAAAGAGTATAAAAACTGCCTGCCTTGGTCATTTCTTTAGGTCTCAATTTTACTATTGGGCCTCTGTGTGCATGAAAGTAAACTTTGTTTTTTTTTTCCTCCTGTTAATCTGTATTATGCCAATTGATTCTAGACCAGCTAGAAGAATCTTGAATGTAGAGGAAAATTTTTTGTCCCCAACACCTTTATAAATCGAAATTACTCTTACAAAAGGGTAATTAACTTTTACTTGCTTTTTAGAACTTCTCTCATGTCTGCTATTTTTAAAAAAATAATCAGCATAAATAATCTTTATGCCAAAGAGACATTTTTTAAAGATTTTATTTATTTATTCATGAGAGACACACACACACACAGAGAGAGAGAGAGACAGAGACAGAGACAGAGACACAGGCAGAGGGGGAACCAGGCTCCATGCGGGGAGCCCGACTTGGGACTCATCCCAAGTATCCAGGATCATGCCCTGAGCTGAAGGCGGCGCTAAGCCACTGAGCCACCCGGGCTGCCCAAGAGACATTTTTGGATAACAAATTCTCCCATTTACTTCTTTAATACCTTGTATCTGCTTTTCCCTATTTCCTTCACTGTTTTAACTTTGGGGGAATTCTTTTTGTGTTTTATATCAATTAGAATTTGATTCAGCTGCCTAACACAAAAAGTCCAAAGTGCCACTGATTTAAGCAATAGGAAAGTTAATTTTTCTCTTGTCTAAAATATTTTCAGGACTAGACATCCAGGGCTAGTAGTACAATTTTAAAGTCTCCAGGGATTGAAATTCCTTCCATTTTTCTGTCCCACCCTCCTAATATGGTCTAAGATGGATGCTGAAACTCTAGCCATTGTATCTGTGTTCCATGCATTAGAAGAAGAGAGATTAGGCAATTGAGTGAGTTATCTTTAAGGAACCTTCCTGAATGTTGCACACAACACTTTCATTTACATTACACTGGCCAAATCTTAGTCTTCTCCTTTGTTCTCACAGCAAGCGAGGTTCAGAAATACAGTTGTTTGGTTAAGCATATTGACAAACCAAACAAGTTCGAAGTTCTGCTATTAAGGAAAAGAAAAAGTAATATTGCGTAGCAATCTTTACTACATTATTACTAAAGGAACTTAAGGAAGGCAACAAGAAAATTCAAGGAGAAATTCTCCAAAGGATAGGAAGAGCAATGTTATGGTCATGCCTTCCTCTAAACTGTTTTTCCCACATCAGGCTTATTTCAGACCACTTGGGTTTGTACATCTACTTCTGAAATTAAAAAAAAAATCTTACTCTTATAGTAAAATATAATGATTTCCACATTCATGAGCACTTGACACTGTGGTAAGAACCTGGCATTTCTCTGCCCTTGAATTAACTGATGACCTTAATACATTTAAACATGAGTGCAAAAGAAATGGAGAGTAGATCGCTGAGTCTGTAGTTTGTGAGTTCCTTTGTTGAGTCATGGCTTTATAATCCAGTCTCTCCTATTTTTGCCAGTGCTTATTCTTATGATGTATAAATGAGAGGTGACTACTTACAAATGAAGAAATCTAGTTTAAGCATAACTTACCCCAAAACACTTGAGCACTGACTTGCAGTACCTAAGTTCTTCCTTTTCCTTGGAAAAAGATTATTTTACTTACTTTACTATTTATGACTAAGACATTGTGCCACTTTTTTGGAGATTTTAATAATGTGCTGATGCACAGATTGGTACCAAACTGCTAAGATATTAATGATGAATCCATGTTGGAATCTCACTTATACATGTAAGGTAGAGAATAGTGAAGCCAGTTTCCAAGCCTACTCATGTGTAGTCATATACATTTTTGTTAGCCAAGAAAGGATGCCCAGACCATTTTTGCATCATGCCCTTGTAAGAAGCAGAGTATCTAGTGAGCTCTGAATAAATTACATTATTTGTATGCAGATCTTCTTTATTCTTTTTTAAGATTTTATTTATTTATTCATGAGAGACACAGAGAGAGAGAGAGAGGCAGAGACACAGGCAGAGAGAGAAGCAGGTTCCACGCAGGGAGCCAACGCAAGACTCGATCCCAGGACTCCCGGATTATGCCGTGGGCCGAAGGCAGGCGCCCAAACACTGACCCACTCAGGTGTCCCTGTATGCAGATCTTCTATTTGAAAAAAAAAAAAAGATCTATTTGAAACTCTCTTCCTCTCTTCTTCATTGTCTTTATATTAGCATGTGTGTTAAAGTCATTGTTCTTTCTAAGAATGAGAATGATAATATCTTTTATTGACACTCTCTACTCTGGTTCTACTTAATGCATCTTAAACTCCAAAGAGATCTTGAATTCATATTGCCCCATCATCCATTATATTTTAAACCAAATAGTTTGTTCTTTGAATCAGAAATAGTCTAAGCTTGTATAGTGATTCTAGCAATTCAAAGAACTTTCCTAAAATGCTTCTCCATTAAGAAAAATAACTATTGTTTGGATTCATTAAAAGTAAAACCTATACATAAAAGCAAAACTGAGCAAACTAGAGCAGTGTGCCCCTCAAATAGCATTATTTTCAAAAAACTATGTTGAATCTTTTGCATTCTGTGATCTCCTTAGTCACGGGAAGCTATTCTAAAGGCTGCGCTAGCTCTCTTCCTTTCAACAAAACAGAATTTTCAAAACTTGCCTTGCCAAGCTGTAAATTCTTCTTTCAAAATACCAATATTTTGGTTGCATTTTTTCCCTTACACAACCCATTCACTTTACTTTTACAAGGCTTTAACTGGGTGGCCTACTACAGATTCTCCGATCTAGAGTATTTACTATGCAGAGTCTGGACTGGGACTAGATACTGAACTACCAGTGTTTATTCATTCACTGAGCTGGTCATGCATATGGTATCCCATCTACTATTCTCTGTTTGTTGTTGCAGGTATTGGCTCCTGGGATCTAATTAGTGCAATGATTTGTTCCGTAAGAGGTGTTAATTCCATGCATCGTATCTGGTATCAGTAGGACTCCACAGCCATATCTGAATTCAAATGTTTCTATTTCATATTTAGATACAGCTAGAGGTCAATATTTAATTATATGGAGTTCAGGTGAAAACACAACTCCTCATTACTTTCCTTGCTCTGTGGTCTGTCTTTTAACCCAAAATCACTAATGCTACTTCTAGTTCTCAGGCTGATATGCAGTCTTTAATGGCTGGTGTCAAGATCGAAGAGATCAGAGTGATTTCCTCCTCTGCGGTTCATCAAGAAGTCCTCAGAGCCTCCATTGACAGTCACTGACACCTCCAAAACAGAGGGGGTTGAGTGACAATATCTGCAGTTAATGTGGTATTTCTGGGTAGGTACAATAATGTGAGATTAAAATTTTCAAAAGGACTTCTTACTTGAGTAGGAATGTTTCTCCAGTTGTTTATTGCCCATTCATTCATTAATTTATTCATTCAACAAACATTTACTGAATGACTACTACATGCCAAGCTCTGTTGTAGGTGCTAGGGACTTGGCTGTGAACAAGACAACAAGGTCTCAGCATTCATAGAACTCATATTTTTGTGCAGGAGACGCAAGAAACAAGGACAAACAAACTTCAGATGCTAAAAAGTGCTATAAAGACAAAAATAGAGAAATTCACAAGTGAAAAAAGTATGACTTCTGACACTGTTTAAATGTACTCATCAGGGCCTTACAGCACATCAAAGAGATGTTCTGGGGTTTCTCATGTAAGTTTTTGAAATTCACTTGGAAAATGAGAGAGCAGATACAAACACAATCAATCATATTTCCAGTCTGAATGTCTGCCCACAGTCCCTATTGAAAAACAGCAGCAATCATTTCAACAATGAGATGGAAACCAGTAGTGTCAGGCAGACACAATCTATTAACTTGCTATCTGTTGCTAGAGTGTCATGGAAATGCCTTTGCCAAACAAGTGAGTCTGATCCTATGCTGCTGACCCAGAAAGGTGGTCACCACATGCAGGTTTCTAGGCCAGGTTGACTAGTGATGACTCTCTCCAAGGGAGGAGAAATAAACAAATTGAGATGAGGAAAGCAATCCTGGGCTGTGTCAGTATGGGTGCCCTCTCTTGTTGTTCGGTTCATGTGTATGATTTGCCCCCAGCCTTGCTTCATTTTCTGTTTCTGGGGATGTCCTGTATGATGACTCTGTGTCTGTAAACAATTTCTTACATTTGATTTCTATGTGCTTTTCTACATTTCTACCTCACTGCTGTCCTGACTTGTATTTTATTTGCAGTCTGATTTCCTACTTCCAGTTTTTCTCCTAGTCACCTTGCCCTCTGGATACCCATTGCACAGCACATACCCTGGTGCAGTCACTAAGATACATGTACAGGCCTGTCTGCAAATGACCTTATGGGCTATGATCAGTTGTGTTTTGAAGTCTTCACAGATATTTTTAAATCTGCTTAGTTCTGAAAAGTTCCTGTTTTTGTTTACTATTCTTAGATCAAGTTAGGAAAAAAAAATACACTCATCATTCCTTCTCAGTTTCCACCCTAATTTTTGGTGGTCTAAGCTTAATCTGTATAAAGTTTGAAACTTGATTTTCCTTCCCCACTAGTTAAAGACGTAGAAGGGTCTCATCTCAAATATGGATTTCTCAACTAGGGACAGTTTTGTTCCCTAGGGGACAATTGGCAATGTCTGGGGACGTTTCTGGTTATCACAACCCGGAGAAAGTTGCTACTGGCATCTACTGAGTAGGTGCTAGATAGATATCACAGATTCTGCTAAACACCCAACAGGGCAAGCCCTCACAAGAAATCATCTGGACCTGTGAGGGAGGAAATAAATTCCCTCTACCCTTAGGTTCTTGGCGGAGAGCCCCCCCCACACACACACACTCCCACCCCTATAATAAAAGACAAATTAAAAAGAGAACAACAAACTGAAGTTTAATTACATGCATACCTCTTGTATACAGAGGAGAGACCCAGGAAAACTGAGTAACTCCCTGAAATGGCCCAAGCCACCACCTTAAAAACTATCTCCAGCTAAAGAAAAAGAAGATGTTGGGAGCACTCCACTGTATAACTGAAACTGATGTAGCATTGTATTTCAATTATATTCAGATAAAAAAAGAAAAAAAGAAGATGGTAGGCGTGGGTGAGCCAGTTACGGGAAACTCTCAGAAAAAGCACAGTGAAGAGAGGTCAGGTTGTTATGCAGATTTAGGTGTTACCTTCTTCATTGGTAAGAGTTTCTAGAGATTTGGTCATCCTCTTCCTGGTATAAAAAGGGAAATACTCTTACAAATAGAGATTTGTTTATAAATGTAAATGTTCCTTACAAAAGAGTAACTTCTCAGTTTTCAGAGCTTTTCCTATGTCTACTCATTCTTAAAAAATATTTTAATAATCCTTATGCCAAAAATAAATATTTGGGGGTGGCAAATTCTGTTCCCTTTATTTCAAATATCAGTAGTGCTGAGAAACCCTGATAGAGACTGAATTAGGTTGATACAGGACTTTATCCCTCTGCAGTTTCCACTCAAAGCTTGCTCTCATCTTACATATATGTACTTATGGATGTCCTGAGGAATGGAACATGGAAAAGTGTATTTTTAATGATGGCCTGGTATGAAGAGAAAAATTTAAGGAAACACTGAAATATATGCAATATATTTGAAATATATGCAAACGTCATAGTGTGTCATTACTACATTAGCAAATTTTCGATGTATTATATTTAACTTAAATTTTGTAAATTAAGATTTTATAGCCACTTGAAATATATGGTTTTACTCACATGATTATAAAATTAATAATTACATTCGGGCAGCCCAGGTGGCTCAGTGGTTTGGTGCCTGCCTTCGGCCCAGGGCCTGATCCTGGAGTCCCAGGATCGATTCCCACATCGGCTCTCTGCGTGGAGCCTGCTTCTCCCTCTGCCTGTGTCTCCGCCTCTCTCTCTCTCTCTCTCTCTGTGTCTCTCTCATGAATAAATAAAGAAAATTTTCAAAAAAATAATTACATTCACTTTGAGGTGTTTTTTTGCTCTATACAGTTTTAGCTGCTGCATTACAGAAATTGTACTTTTTGAGTTTTGTTTGTTTGCATTGTTTATCAGCTTGTAAGATGATCAGTGTTCTTCATTCAATCATTTAAACAGCATTATCTTTTGCTTTTTCACTAATGAGAAGTGGGGAATCATTTGGTGAAGGGTGCCAAATACAGTTGAAAACATACACATACAAATATATATATATATATATATATATATATATATGACAGAGAGAGAGAGAGAGAGAGAGAGAGAGAGCGCAACCAGGGGGAGTGGCAGAGGGAGAGGGAGAAGCAGGCTCCCCATGGAGCAGGGAGCCCAACACAGGGCTCCATCCCAGGACCCTAGGATCATGACCTGAGCCAAAATCAAGAGTTGAATGTTTAACCAATTGAGCCACCCAGACACCTCCAGGTGAAATAATATCCTAAAAATAAAAGTGCTAAGTATTCTCAGAATTACATTTTATATAAAGGAAAAAAAAAACAGAAAAGTGACCCTTTACCTTTCTAGTAACATTTTAAAAGTAGTTAAATCCTGGAAACAGCATCTGGGCTTTAGTACCAATTTTTGCTTTCTGAATTAAAAACAATGAAATCAATATTCTGAATGACTGTTCAACTTTTATTTATTTCAAAACTCAAGTTAGTGGTTTTATTTGCTAAACCAAAGGCAAATATTTCCAATAGGTAAATACTTACCTGAACAATTTCAGCCTTCAGAAATGAGATAATTTACCAATTTATAGTCATGAACAAGGAAAGTATATGGAAAGAAAAATAATTTTTTCCAGGTTGTATTTTCAACAATTTTTAAAAGACTCAAGACAATAGCTCTCACTTCCAAATCTTTCATGAAACTATTAGAACTTGCTTGTATAAATTCCATTTTATAGGATTTCTTCTTGCCTGGAGTACTTATTTAGGTAGAGAAGTAACAAAATCCATATTATAAGGCTTAGTGGCACAGAGATATAAATAATTATTTATAGAATTACATTTTCAAGAACTAAAAGGAAATGATTACTGCCTGCATGTTTTTACACAATTCTGTTGTTTCATGGCATTTAAAGTGGCCCCCAGTGCACAGGATCTGCAACTAAAAGTTTGGTGATGAAAGTCAGACTAACATAGTTAAGAGATTCAATGTTGGGTGACGGGCACTGAGGGGGGCACTTGATGGGATGAGCACTGGGTGTTACTCTGTATGTTGGTAAATTGAACACCAATAAAAATAAATTTATTTAAAAAAATAAAAAACATAAGAGATTCAACATCTAACAAACCTAGTTTCAGATTCATGTCCCACTCTACTAACCATGGGCCTTTGGGCAAGTTGCAGAGCTTGTCAACTAGTCTGGCCAGTGCACACAGGTGTTACTGGAAGGCCAAGATATTGCTCTCCTCGATCTTAGGGTAGCTAGAGCCTCAGAGCCTATAGCCTTTGGCCATTCTTTCTGTAAAAAAAAAAAATGGGATTGCTGTGAGAATTAAGTTACATTAATATTCTTCCCGGTATACAGTGAGAGCTCAATATATGTTATAGATGAGTAGTAGCACTTAAGGGTTGAAATATGTACGACATGTTAAAGAACCAATTATTTAATAATCTGAACCTCCATATAAAATGCAAGGCACATGAGAGGGAGAATCATATATTCATCTTAAATATAGTTTTAAAGATTTATGTGTTTATTTTAAAGAGAGAGAGAAAGAGCATGGGGAAGGAGCAGAGAGATAATCCTCAAGCCGACTCCTTGCTGAGCATGGAGCCTGACTCAAGGCTTGATCCCAGGACCCTGGGATCACGACCTGAACAAAAACCAAGAGTTGGCAAATTAACCAACTAACCAACCCAGAGGTCCCACTATGATTTACTATAATCATGTGCATGTGCATATATTACGTTTTCAAAAACTAGTGGCTTTTTCAAAGGATTGTAACCTTCAGTGTTATCTCCTGATGGAATCGCCGTATGGATATATTATTTTCTTTCTTTATTTTCATTTTCACCTTTTGTGGTGCTTCACCCAGGTTTTGACATTAACCAGAGTATTTCCATTGTTGAATGAGCAGCTGTCAGAGGAAGATGCTTTGTTTTGTTCAGTGGTGGTTGTTTATTCTTTCTGACCAGAAACCATATATGCCATGCTTCTTCACCAGCCTATCAAGTTTTCCATTATCTCTGGCTGTGAATTTGACAACTTCCTGGGCTTTATTTTGTTGTCAGTCAGAAGAACATACTTACTTTGTGGTGAGCCTGCCACTAGCCTTCACTTTCTAACTTTTTTCTTTATAATGACTTGAAAGAGCTTGCAACAGGAGCTGTGTCTCCATGCTTGCTAGACAGATACCCTGCCTACATTTGAGTCCATCTGGTGTCTGCTATGAAGTTTTCAATTGTACAAGTGGAAACTAGACTTGAGTGGCCGTACCTGATTTTAACCAAAAGCTAGGACACCATTGGAGAGCAAAGGAAAGAAACAATTTCATCCCCATGCCAGACATCTGACATTTGAAGAGACTTTCCTATTTAGGATATTCTATTGAAGTAAATTCACCCATTTAAAAAAAAAATTCACTTCCCAATGTGTGCCAGGCGGTCCATCACAGACGGAGGAGACTAAGAATAGAATTCCACATGTCCTGGACTTGAAAGAGCTTGCAATTTAGCCTGTAGCAGAATCACCTGGAAAGCTCATAAGCATGCATATTCTAAGTCTCCAACTACAATAGGTCTGAGCTATAGGCTCAGGAATCTGCATGATTTGCAGGCGTCTCAGATGATTCTGATACAGGTGACCTTTGGATGACACTTTAAAGAACACTGGCTGGGGGGAATCCCTGGGTGGCGCAGCGGTTTGGCGCCTGCCTTTGGCCCGGGGTGTGATCCTGGAGACCCGGGATCGAATCCCACGTCAGGCTCCCTGCATGGAGCCTGCTTCTCCCTCTGCCTGTGTCTCTGCCTCTCTGTCTCTCTCTGTGTGACTATCATGAATAAATAAATAAAATCTTTAAAAAAAATAAAAGAACACTGGCTGGCAGGGGACACAGCCAGATAAAGCATAAAGAAAAGCTTGTAGTTAGGAATGATTATGGTGTTGGTGGGCAGTGAAGAGGTACCTTGTTGGGAGATCTAGGTTCCTGTTATGGAATAGTGGGATGAGAGTACAGAGGCAAGGTCAGGCCAGCACAGGCAAAACCTTGGAAGTCAGTCTGAGGAGGTTGAACAAATTCCACATGTCATAGTATTTTAGCTATATCAAAGAGGTCATTAAAGAACCACTGGATGGAGATAGATATAGATATAGATATAGATAATGAAATATTACTCAGCCATCAGAAAGGATGAATATCTACCATTTACATCAATGTGCATGGTACTAGAGGATATTATGCTGAGAGAAACAAGACAATTATCATATGGTTTCACTCATATGAGGAATATAAGAAACAGCACAGAAGATTATAGGGGGAAGATTGGAAAACTGAATGGGAAGTCATCAGAGAGGGCGACAAACCATGAGAGGCACTCAACTCTAGGAAACAAACTGAGGGTTGCTGGAGGGGAGGGGAGTGGGTGATGGGCATTAAGGAAGGCATGTGATGTGATGAGCACTGGATGTTATATGCAACTGATAAATTGTTGAACACTCCATCCGAGACTGATGGTGTTCTATATGTTGGCTAATTGAATTTAAATTAAAAAAAAGAAACACTGGATGTTTTGAATAGAAAAGTGTTTCTGTGAGATTTATGTCTCAAAGGAATTATTCTGGCAGCAATGTCTAAGATGAATTGGGGCAAAAGGAACTTGAGAGCTTCTAAAGCCAGGAAGCATCAGTTGTATTTGTCCAAGTGTGAGATGACAAGGACTCGGACTAGGGTGGAGCAGTGAACAGATATAAAAGGCATACACTGGAAGGACTGACAAGGCACCCGAAGGTTGCAGAGGATGAGGGCAAGAAAGGATACAGAGAAGGCTCTAAGGTTTGGTACTAGAACTAATGAAAGGTTAAAGATGGCAGTGACAAACGTAGGAAGGTGGTAAAGGTGAACAGATTTCCTGGGAAGATGAAGAGTAGACATTTGGACACACTTGATCTGGATTGAAAGGAGAAAATATTCAAGTAGATGTCTCCTGCTGGCAATTAGAGATATTTACTACAGACTAAGAAAAATGCACACCCTAGGTCCTAATAATGGTGACATGACCCCAAACTGTATTATTTCTGTTGGGTTTTGTAAGAAAAAAAAAGCTTGTTACTATACCATGAATAATCTTTATGTATGTATTTACTTTTAAATTGCAGTATTTATCATTTATGATAGAGGAGAAACTGCATGATTTTCTTAGTTTTCTCTTAAATTATGCATTAAAATATCAGTGAACATTAAAATGTTCCTTTAAGGGATACCTGGGTGGCTCAGTGGTTGAGCATCTGCCTTCAGCTCAGGTTGTGATCCCAGGGTGCTGGGATCGAGTCCCACATCAGGCTCCCTGCAGGGAGCCTGCCTCTCCCTCTGCCTATGTCTCTGCCTCTCTTTCTGTGTCTCTCATGATTAAATACATTAAAAAATAAATAAATAAAATAGTCCTTTAAGAACCAGGGTAATGCTTTTGGAGGAGGTATTTGGGCTGACATTGGACGGATTAGATTTTAGCGCAGAAAGTAGCACAGGTACTCTCCTAAAGGCGGGCCAAATAAAAACGTCTACTGCATCAAGGACTTGCAAGTGTTCAGAATTTCCAAGGGCAGAAGACTCTGAGGAAATAGATAATAGTGAAAAATGGAGAGGCTGAAGTTGGTTCATTTATAAATAGCTAAGATTGTTCATACTGTGTTTTAGAACTTTGTAGGAGGAAAAAGCCCAACTCCGGTTCATTGTGACAAAAAAAGTCAAGCCGTTCCAGCAGAGGAAACAAACATAGACTGCTTTAAGTAACATACAGATATGTCAACCAAAGTGTTTATTTTTACCACAGTTTACAAGTCACACAAAACTTTTTAATCTTTCAGGAGGTCTGTGATATCTGTTCTCAGATGATCAATATATCTGAAAAGAAGCTATGTGCTAATTGGTCTCTAAGTCTCCAGGGACCAATGAGCATGGATCATTTAAAGGAACCATACACAATGTAATAACCATTATTCATTGACTATAAAGAGATCCAGAGTTTTACAGAACAGCCTGCATTGGCCATTTAGGCCAAAAATAACAGACATCACTTCCTCTGTCAAACAGGTGTCATTTGATTGATATTTGTATTTATTTTTCAAAAACAAAAAATAAGTAACTGACAAGTTTAAGGACTAACATTCAGAGCCTTGTCTTTTAAGTGATGAGAATTCTGCTAATACATAATATTTTCAGTGATTATCTGTGTAGGTTAGGAAAAGTCCATGTGGACAGGTGAATATTCAACTTCAAATGGCAAAAGTCAAGTGGAATTTGACCTGGCTATTGATAAACTGATTATTTTCTGCCATACTGGGAAGGTATCCAAGGGGATACTGGAAAATCCTCTAATGTCTGTTTGGTTCCTGACTGGAAACTTTGTAATGTTTTCTGGGTGATAGTTTGGTGGATTTTTAATAGTCTTGGTAGGCTTGACTACAAAATTTTATTATTTTTATTTTTTTATATATTTTTATTTGGAGTTTGATTTGCCAACATATAGCATAACACCCAATGCTCATCCCGACAAGTGCCCCCCTCAGTGCCCATCACCCAGTCGCCCCATCCCCCCACCCACCTCCCCTTCCACTGCCCTTTGTTCATTTCCCAGAGTTAGGAGTCTCTCATGTGTTGTCACCCTCTCTGATTTTTCCCACTCATTTTCTCTCCTTTCCCCTATAATCCCTTTCACTATTTATTATATTCCCCAAATGAATGAAATCTTATAATGTTTGAACTCTGACTTACTTCACTCAGCATAATACCCTCCAGGTCCATCCACGTTGAAGCAAATGGTGTGTATTCGTTGTTTTTGATGGCTGAGGAATATTCCATTGTAGACATAGACCACATCTTCTTTGACTAGGTAGGTGTCCCCTTCCTCCCTCGCCACTCCATGTGTGTCCCTCTCGAAGCTGCGTGCTTGGTCAAAGAGGACGACCATCCCCAATAGAGGAGGACCATTCTTCGGTCAAGGGTATACGAGTAGCTGTGCTCCCCTGCTAGAACCTCCAAGGACTCCGATATTTTAAACAATTATTTAGTTGTGTATCGGCAGAAATTAAATATTCAAAGGTAATGAGCTTAATCATTACAAAGTGTCTCTTTAAAGATGACGCAATAATGGCTAGTGTTGCATTTACTCTTTGAAGCATGGGCAGAGGAGAGTATCTAAACTTAATATTTTAACTTAATATTTAAGCTGATTGCATTGGCTGTAAAAAAAGGGCACTTCAGCTATGTAGAAAGTGGTTGTCTTCCTTTGCAGCCCATATGCAAAGTGTAGGGGAGGAAAACTTTTTCCTTCTCCCCCTCTAGGTTCTTTGGCTGCTCTAATAATTAAATTGATATAAAACAGATTAACTGGAGAAAAACAAATTTAATTTCTCACGTACAGGAGCCCCAAACATACGAGGCTCAAGTAAGTGACGAAAGCAGGCAGCTTTTATGCCTTTTTAATAAGGAAACAATACATTTGTAAAGAATTGACAAGACAAAGGGGTGTAAGCTTGCGATAGTAAATTAGTGGAAAAAGTAGCAAGGTTGTTTATGTAGCCTTCTCCAGCCTTAATTCCCGGTCTCTGGTGATAAGGAAGCCTTGTACCCTCCTGATACAGAGAGAATACCTACACATGGGAGATTTATTTCCTGCTTTCAGGGGAGCAAAGGAGGGTCAGAGTGTCCTTCCTGCACTGGCTGTTTCTCAAGTAACTTTAATTCAAAATAATCAAAATGCCAAAGTGAGCACACCGTGCTCCCTCTCAAAAGCATTCATTGTTTTAAAAGACCCTCAAAGTGAGGCCATCTGTCTCTGCCAAGGTGGATTAACTCACTTCATGCCCCTCATTTGGGCTGGCTACATGTTTCAGCCTCTGAAGAGAGTTTTCCCAATGATGCCAACTCAGCCAGTTGGAGGTCAATTATACGTGTCTGCACTCCCAGGATTATCCAAGTTTGTCTTTGGAGAGGAAGCCTGATGCAAGATACAGTTGGTGTTGGGACGCCAGGGGGGCTCAGCGGTTGAGCGTCTGCCCTCGGCTCAGGGTGTGATCCCAGGGTCCTGGGATCGAGTCCCGCATTGGGCTTCCTGCAGGGAGCCTTCTTCTCCCTCTGCCTCTCTCTCTCTGTCTCTCATGAATGAATAAATAAAATCTTAAGAAAAAAGATACAGTTGGTGTAGCCCTGCATTCATTTTCCATTCTTCCTCCGAGCGACGTGGCCAGGCATAGCTTGGGAATCTAGGGGATATGGAAATAAACCAGATTACCTATTGCCTAATGCCTTTCTCTGTTTGGCCACCAGTGCTACGGTTATGAGGGTCCACAGACTGAAGAGGACCTAGTGGCAAAGGAAGGCATATAAAACCTCTTTCTTCTGGTTGAGCCCACCCCAAACAGAAGGTGAATTGCATAACAGACCTCTCTCAGACATCTTAAAAAACAAAACTGGTGTCAATTCTAACACTTTTCTGAGCATGCATTATTTCTTCCTTATCTCATATTCATTGAAATATACCGCTGTTTGTTATATTGTTCCATGTAATTCTAGAATAAGTCCCTGCAACTTCACTTGACAGTTATACCATGATGTTGTTTTTCCTGTGTCACCAATAATAATGGGCCCTTTTGATGCTTTGTATTAGGAAAAAAATATGTACCATAAAAAGATACCCATTAGAGGTCAGCTGCATAGAGCATGGATTTTATGTTTATCCTGGTCACTGATATAATCACAGACTTGGGCCCGTAATACTTTGAATGAACAAATGAGAGAATAAATGAAGGGATGAATGAAAGTCTCTATGCTTAAAATACGAATGGAAATATAGAAATGAAGTTACGTTAACAACAAGTTGGTTTCGTAAGCAAAGCTTAATGTTGTTCACCAAGCTTATCATGCCACTTGGTGTAAGTTCTTTACAAATCAGCAGTAACTCCTCATATCCTAAAGATTCTCCTTTCAGGAAATTGATCATTACTATCCCTTCTATAGCTCATAGCAGAAATTCCAGTTTGCCACTTTTCTTCTCAGTGCTATATGATGGCATCTTCAGCCAGTGCATTTTAAAGTTTGAATACATCAGTATTCTCTTTTATTAAGCAAAGGTTGCTGCATCAGGAATTCTCTGGTGGATTCACTCTTTGTAGTCACAGAGAGCTACTCTACTGGAAGATAGTCTCGCATGTAAAAGCAGCCAACCATCTTTCTCATTAGCGTGAATTTTTACTTCTCTCACATTATTGAACAGGCAATACACCTTTTAATCTTTGGTATATATTGGTCATATTTCTTGCTTCGAAGTGTAGTTCCATTTGATTGGGAATTCCTTAGGTAAACAATGTCCAGCTACATAATGAAAGGAAATTAAGACTAGAAAAGGCTTCAATGTATTGCAGTGGTTCTCCCACTCCGTGGAACCTTTAACCCGTGGTTTCCTTCTTTTGTGAAGTATTTTACTGCCAGTTTTAAGAAAATGTCTTTCCTCCTTGTACATTTGAATTAAAATCAAAAAGCAGCATGAAGAATTTATTAGAAATGGCCTTCCTTCCATCATCTGATAAAGCCAAATCTACTTCTTGCCTTACACCCCATTACTGACACTAAGATATATATACTTTGAAAATTCTAACATGTCTCTATTACCATTCAAATTTTGTAGCTTGTAACAACATATGTAGAACTTAATGCCCTATTCTTTCAAAACTAATGCCTACAAGAGGAGTAATAATTGTTAAATTAAATAAATACGTAGCGTGTAATGTAACAGAAGCCACATATATGAGTTGTGTATGTGATTTCATAATTTGCTCCATCGTAATGCCCTCTTTAAATTCACTGTTTTTTTTTTTATCCTTCCCCAATTCTTCAATATATATATATATTATGGGGCTCAGGGCAGGCTGTCACTTTGGCATGTGGATTATTTGAAGCTGAAAACAATCAAGGCCCAAAAGATTCAGGAAAAGCTTTTACCTCCCCCTTAAATGCCTTTAAGAATTATTTATTTATTTATTTATTTATTTATTTATTTATTTATTTATTTATTGTTATTGGTGTTCAATTTGCCAACATATAGAATAACACCCAGTACTCATCCCATCAAGTGCCCCCCTCAGTGCCCGTCACCCAGTCACCCTCACCCCCCCCGCCCACCTCCCTTTCTACCCCCCTTGTTTGTTTCCCAGAGTTAGGAGTCTCTCATGTGCTGTCTCCCTTTCTGATATTTCCCACTAACTTTTTCTCCTTTCCCCTTTGTTCCCTTTTACTATTTTTTATATTCCCCAAATGAATGAGACCATATAATGTTTGTCCTTCTCCAATTGACTTCTTTCACTCCCTGTGTCCCACTGTCTGCATGGCAGGACAAACATTTGTTTACCAAACATTTGCTCTTCACGTCTTCCTGTGAACTGTCTTCCTTCCCTTTGAAGCCCCAGATCCGCTATCCCTTTCTGCTCAGCTCAGGATAGCATCCAAGCCTCAACTGCCTGCCATTGAACCTCTCAATGTTTATACAAAGTTCCTATATGTATGAAATTAAATTTTTTTCTCCTGTTAATCTGTCTTATGTCAATTTAATTATTAGACTAGCCAAAGGTCTAGAAGGGAAAAGTTTTCCTCCCCTACATATATAATCTTTTCTACATTATCAACAATAATCTGTGTATAATTTAACCTTTGTATGCATTTGGCATATTCTTCATTCTTATCTCTGTCCTCAGGAAAATGATTTCAGGCATGGTATGAGTGTTGGAATAAAGATATTTTTAGCACTTTTAAAAAATAATTTCCCTTTCTCTAGTGGGACTTTCTCTAAGTATAAATATGGAACAAAGCTTCCTCCCATGATCAGTTTTAAAATTCCGTATTACCACTGTTACACTTTTCAAAAACTATCCCAAGAAAATAATGTCCCCACTCCCTAAGAAAAACATACCCAAAAATGTTCACTACAGCAGTGTTCATAAATGATTAAAAAATGGGACCAAAAAAATGGGACCAACATAAGTGTCCAGTAACAGGATCCTAAAGATAATGTTATATCTGTGGTGTGGAATACACTAGCCATTAAAATGAAAATTATGACTATTACATAGTTACCTGAAAAAAAAATATATTAAGTAAAGCATAAAAAGCCAAAGGCAAATTTGTATCTATATTATGATTACAGGTATGTCAAAACAAGAACTAGCAAAGAACAAGGAACATTGATAACAGAGAAGCTGTTTGAGATATGGAATAGGAATTTTTATTTTAAAAATGTTTTTACTGTTACTGTCATGAAAGTGTTTTAGTTTTTGATATTTTTTGAGGTTTCCATATAACTATGTTTCCCCTAACCAACTGCTGATGGTAAGAGACTGTAATTAATGCATTGTTCTATCCTATTTAGCCTTTGGCGTTGAACTCGGGCAGCATTCATGGGCTGTTAGGTTTTATGACTCAATAATGACAGAACAGTTTCTTAAAGTCTAAGTGACCTCCAAATAGCTAAAAGATATGTTTAGATTCTCTGCTATTAAGGAATAAATAATGCGGCCTATTCTTTCAGCAGGGGAATTTATCTGAGTAACTAAAACATGCAAAAAAGAATTATCTACATGTTATTCATTGTTCTATATCCATAGATGGAATGGAAGCTAAACACCTTACATGAGCTTGACAAAATTAGTATAGGATTAATTACTTTTGTTACTTTTGTAACAAGATTCTAACTGGATTCAGCTTATTCAGGTTTAGGTCAATGTAACTTAATGTTTTTGACTTTCTCTCCTCTGACATTGCCGTTATTCTAAATCCAGCTCACAGACAAGTAATATCAATTGTTCCAAAACTGCAGCTCCATGAACAAGGACATAGAACTTTATTAAATACTTTATTAGTATGTTTTTTTTTAAATGACATAGAAAATAACATGGCACTGTGTGTCCTGAGTGGAATAATGGCCTTGGAAAGACGTCCACATCCTAGTCCAAGAAGCCTGCACCTATGTTACCTT